CCAAAAAAATTGCTTTGTTTTTGAGGCAGGGTCCTATTCAGCCCAGGCTGGCCTCAAACTTGATATGGAGCTGATAATGATCTTGAACTCTCGGTTCTTCTGCCTCTTGAGATTATAGGCGTAAAACGCCATCCCCAACTATTTATTTTTATCTAACTTTAAAAGGCATTTATTTTCAGTGTCTCAAAAACCAAAATAAAGCTGGCCATGGTGGCACATGACTGCCTTCAATCCCAGCATTTGGGAGGCAGGGACAGATGGATCTTTGTAAGTGCAAGGCCAGCCTGGTCTACAAAACAAGTTATGGGACAGCCAAGGCTACACAGAGAAACCTAGTGCGTGTTTGTGTGGGAACAACAACAACAAAACACCCAGCTGTCTCAAAAACAGAGAATAACATTCTGTCAAAGAAATCGTGCTTTTTCTGTTCCATAAAGTAATCAGTTCAACTGCTTCTCTTCTTGAATAATTATTGGTAAATTACACTTACTTACTTTTTGTGTTGGGGGTACAACTGGTGGTCAGGGACTCTACTCTCCCCTCTCACCATGTGAGTTCCACAGATGGAACTCAGGTCACCAAGTTGACAGCAAGGTCCTTTCCTGTGGAGCCATCTGGGGGGGGGGTCTGAAACAGGGTTTCTCTGTAGCTTTGGAGGATGCCCTGGAAACTCCCTCTGTAGACCAGGCTAATCTCAAACACAGAGATCTGCCTGCCTCTGCTGCCCAAAGGCTAGGATTAAAGGTGTGCACCACCACTACCCAGCTCTGTGGAGTCATCTTAACAGACTTCTTACTGTTTGGAGTTTTGGTTTTTTTGGTTTTTTTTTCTTGGTTACTTTATTTCTTTAAGACTCAGGAATTATTCTCAAGTCCAGGGCAGTCTCCAACTCATCATGTTGCCCAGGCCTGCCTTGAACTCATGGCCATTCCCCAGCCTCAGTCTCCAAAATGCTTGGACTACTGTCATTTACCACACACCACACCCAGCGACCATCATCTGTTCGTTTTGTTTGGCTTGATGGGGATGCAGAGAAGGACCTAATGCGTGGGGCACCACTAAGCCACACTCCAGCTTCAATCCCTCATTTTTAAAAGGTGAAACCACTTCTCTCTAAGATAGATCCAAGATTTCAATCAAGAGAATGTCCTCTGCATAGAAACCTCCCCGAGATCCTGGAAATCCCCTGAAGATTCTTGGAGCAGCGACTGCAAAACTCAGTTCCTTTCTGGACCTGCCACTCTCCAAACCCTGTCACTGCAGTGTGACCCAGCAGCCCCAGACCAGTGCCCAGGAGGCCCTGAAAACAGTCTTGTCTTTCAACTGCTCACAAGTCCCCCAGGTTCAAGCCCACCAGCCTGGAGACCCTCCCCATGGTTGCATTCTTGGAAGTAGGCTCTTTGGGTAGAGCTGGCAGCGGATGGCAAGGGAGGGGGTACTCACTGGGGTCAGCTGTGGAGAGGCCAGGAGCTGCTGCAGCTGCTGGAGCTGCTGCTCTTGCTGCTGAAGGAGGTGTCTCTGCTGCTCTGTCAGGCTGAGGCCGGTATAACATAGGTAAGAAGGTACCGAGAGGAAGACCCCACACCCACAAGTTCCCAGATGCCCTCAAGCCCAGGCAGATGGACAACCTGTCCAGAAGACTAGCAGTAGGGACATGATTCAGATCCTGTCCCCTGAACTACTCCTGTCCAGATACACCCAGAGCTAAAGTCTGAGGAGTCCTTAAAGTCAACAGACTGCCAGAACTATAAATGCGATAGGGCCAAAGGGCATTTTTTTCCTTTGGGGGTGACAAGGAAAAGGTGACACCTTTGGTGACAAGGGGCATCCCTCCCACATCCAGCCTCCCATTCCCTTCCCTAGGGCTGAGATCTCCCTCACCTGTTGAGACAACCTGGCAGTTGAAGCGTGGGGGCCCCGCCAGTCTGGCTCAAGCCCGCAGGGTTGGGAGCAGCAGCCCCATTCAACCCCCCCAGAAGCCCATTGAGGGGCAGGCTCCCGCTGCCAGCCAGCCCACCCAGTAGCCCCTCAGTCATGGGCATGGCTCCTAGCCCCGCTGCTCCGGGTGCCCGGCCCAGCCCATTCTGTGGCTGCGGTGGGAGCGGGGCAGGGGCCCCGGGCAGGGCCAAGGGCAGAGCGGCGGGGCTCTGCTGGAGCAGGGGCAGCGGTGGGGGCGTGCTGTGGAAGGACAGCGATGAGCTGCTGCGGCTCGGGCAGCCTGAGTGTGGGTCCTGGGGAGGAGGGGGAAGGGACAGGTCAGAGGGTAGGGGCCAGCAGGACCTTTCTGGCCCCCAGCCCAGTATCCACCAGCATTCTCTTGAAGCAAAGCCCCCTTAAGCCTCCAGGCACCCTGGAGAAACAGCAGGGCCCGGTGAGGAAAGCCAAAGGGCTGCAGATCATGTTTAATGGCTACTTCCAGAGGTCCAGCACCCTTTGCTATTCTGGCTTAATGACAAACAACTGATTTTCCAAGGGAACCAGGTCCAGGGGTGAGTACGGACCTGTACTACTCTGTCATTTCCACGACATGGCTAAAGTCACTGATGGTACCTAAGGAACTCTGCAGCCAAGAGCTCTCACTGGAGCAAAAGGCTCAGGTTCAAATCCCACAACTTCAGGGCCTTGGGGGCCTTGGTTTATGTATTCACGTACTGTATGTGACAGCAATATCCATTCCACAAGGTCACTGTGAAGACTAAGAAACTCTTTAGGGCAAGCTCGCAACTGGTGTTGCTTTTATGATTATGACTGCCCCAAGTCACAGTAAGTAAGTGGCAGAGAAGAACCAAGAGCCCGGTTTGCTGGATTCCAATAATAACCACAACATAACAATAGCAACTGCTATTCCAACCGCCACCAATTACACAGGGATTAGTGTGTGTGAGGCACTGTGAGGAACCCTTCACAAAGGCTTCTCAACACTCCTTCCCCAAGACAGCCGGCCTTCTCTCGTGCTCCTTTAGCCCTTAATTGAGCGCATCTTTCTATTATTTCTCCTTTGCAATTTGCTGTTCTCTTGGGTGCAGCCCATCTCCAGGAGGCCTGAGTCTACTTCATTCACTGTCTGCTTAGCCAGTGCCCTGTGTTAAGGAGGCACCCACCCATACTACTTATTTAAAGTAACAACCAATCCTTCCAGTGGCCAGCTTCCAACAGCTGCTGGGTAGAACTAGACTGAAAGGACTCTCTCCAGTTCCTCCTCCCTGTCCCCTCCTTGCAGTGCCCACCTCGGAAGACGTGGACGTGTCCAGGCCAAGGCTGTTCCTCCCTGGAGGGCTCTTGCTGGTGCTCAAGGAGTCATTGCTGCCCGCTAAAGGAAGGAATGTGGGAGATGCAATGGGGCCAGTTCAAGCCACTGGGCAGGAATTCCTCACCCCAGACTGGACTGGAGGCCCTCACCTTGAGGAAGCAGCCCATAGTGCCCTGGGACAGGGCCATTAGCGGCAGGCAGGGCAGCAGGCAGGGCAGGGAAGGGCACAGAGAGCTGCACATTGAGGATCTGCAGTCGCTCCTTCTTGGCTGTCAGGCTGAGGATCTGCTCCTGGAGCCGCTGATTTTCCTTCTGCAGCGCATGCAGGGCCTTCAGCATCTCCACAACTTCAGAGAGGGAGGAGGAGCCTGAGGTTAGTGCGGCACTGCATCAAGGAGGCAGGGCCAGCGGGAGGGACAGGGTCTAGAGGGCAAAGGCTACCCAGAGAGATGCCTTTGGGGAGGAAGATCTGGGATACAGAGGTTTGAGGACTGCAGAAGGCTCCTGATGCCACTGAGATTGAGGGGAGTGGGTACAATCTGGGGTTTGGTTATGACCTGTGCCAGGAGGTCATGAGGAACAAAGGTAGAGTTAGCATTGACTACCGAGAGCACGACCTATGCAAGGTTAAAGATGAGTCCTGGGGCAGGGGTGAGGGATGTGTGTATGTGCCATACTCAGACTTAATGTGGAGGGGAGGGGCTTGATCCTGCCCCAAATTAATGTACCAAACTCTGTCAACTCTTCATGGGAGCCCTTACCTGTTGGGAGGAGTGGGGGTGGTGGGGTGGGAGAACCTTGGTTGGAACGTAAAATGAATTAAATATAAATGGTTTAAAAAATAAATCAGCCCTGGGGCCACTGGCAAGGCCAGTAAAAAGGCTTGAGTCCCTAGGGAAAGGGGAAGGAGTGGCTGGGACAGGCCTCCCGTCCCTGTGCGCCCCGCTCACTGTTGACACCAGCCTCTCCATCGCCCTGTTTCTCCAGCAGCTGCTCCATGTTAGTTGTGCCCGGGGCTGTGGTGTCTAACTGGCCACCCCCACAGGGCGCCGCTGTTGTCTGGTCAAAGAGCGCAGGGAGGCTGCTGATGGGAGACCTGAGACCAGAGGAGACATCAACTCAGGCTCACCTAGCACACTGATTCCAGCCCACCCCCGCCAACCAGGTCCTCAATCCTGCCCCCACCCAGCCCTCCCTCCACCAAGGTGCACCCTCCCTCACATGGAAGAGAGACTCTCCTGGGGGGAGGTCCCGTGACACCGGAAGCTGCAGTCTTCTAGGTCTGGCTCTTGGAAGGAGAAGGATGGCAAGGGTCAGGGGGAGGGGAAGCTATTTGCCTCAGGGCCCTCCCTGGAAAGTGGGTGCTGCTCCTAGAACCTCAACACAGCCCCCTTTTTCAGTACCCCCCCAAGCCTAGGCTGGTAGCTCATACTGGCAAGGAGCTGAGCTTGGCACCCCCATCTCAGGAAAGCTCTTCCCCTTCCTACGGGGCTCTTGCTGTCTGTTTCTAGATCTTCCAGTTACAGAAACTGAGGTCAAGACAAACCTGGAGCAACTGAACCAGACACTGGCTGTGTGACCTTGAGAGGGTAACCAGCCTCTCTACAGCAACCGTTCTCAGGATTAAAATAAGGTCGGAAGAGTGACGGGCTTAGCTGGCGGGCTCAGCAAGCACAAAGCAAGCCCTTAATCATTGTATTATCCTAATTAGCTTTGACTTCTTATATTCATAAACTCAGATGAGAAAACTGTTGTCCACAGGAGACAGACACACACACACACACACACACACACACACACACACACACACACACACACACACCTGCTGCTCTGGGTTATAGAAAACACACCAATTTTACTCAACCAAGTCCAGAAACAGAAGTCAGATTTGGTTTTAACTCAACTGGCAGCTTACAGTCAAGCCTCGCCCCCAGGCTGACGGGGGGCGGGGGGGCAATCTCTGTTCGGCTCTCAGGGATTGAGTAGACTCTGGGGAGAAGATGTGGGAGCTTGCCTCCCACCCCCTTAATTCCTAGATACGTGGAGAGCAGAAAGCCCAGCTGGCGGGACCTCTGTGACCCCGACTACCACTGCACAGGAGGGGCCGGGGAGAGGTTAAGTGCACTGGGCTGGTGCTGGCTTGTCTTGAGCTGGCTTTGCCATTCTCTACCTAGGGTTTTGAGGTCACTTCTCTTCTGTGGATGGGGCAGAATTGCCCTGCTGGGCCCAACACTGTTTTCCCTAAGGTGTCCCCAGGCTGGAAGTGTGTAGATAGATAAATTTGTTTAGGCAGAGGAGGCAATGGCCGGGGGTGGGGGGACCCTCATGCTTTCTATACTCATGTTCTTCAGAAGCAAAGGGAACAGGAGCAGGGGCCAGCATACCTGTGTGGCTATTCTCGGCTTGGGTGAGGAGGGGGTTAACAGTGCCCACGGGGGTTCCAAAGATGTGGGAAGACGGGAGACTGAAGGTAGAGCCAGCCAGAGAAAAGACCTGTTGGGAGGACCAGACTCCAGCCTCAGGTGCCTGCTCGCCATCTACCACAGCTGGAATGTGTGGTAGGACAAGGCACACCTGGAGAAGAGAGGGCACACGACAAGAGCTGTCCCCACCTGCCCAGGAACAGTGTCTCACCTGAGTGGTGGAGATGGAAGCAGAGGAGGATGGGAGGGTGCTGGTGAACGGGGAACGGCTGAGGCGGGGCAAGGCTGAGGTCCCTGGAGGCCCCAGCAGGCTGGAAGAGAGTGGGGTGCTACAGACAGCCCGCAGCATCCCTCCACCATGAGAGATGGGGTCTTTATTACTGGTGTAGATTCCTAAAAATACAAAGACACACAGGAAACCCTAAGGTCCCTTTATACCCCAGACTCCTCTTCAGATGGTGAAGGCAGCCCCTCTTGGGACTCTGGCCATTCAATTCTACTACCCCGCCTTGGTCTGGGCAATTCTGAGCTTTTCTTACTATTCTATTAGAACACTCCCAATCCTGCTGGCGTGGACCCCAGTCTCTTCATGCAGGGGACATCTTAGAGCTAATGGCCACCTCCATTCTGTCTTTTGGAGCAGTTTCTACCCAGCTACATTTCCTCTAACTCTTCCATTTATGTCCCTGCCTTCTCACAGGACTGGTTAGTCCTTGAGACGTTCTTTAGCTACAGGAGTCACTAACCTGCCCCCAGAAGAGGGGATTCCAGGCTCAGGCTGGGCAAGCTTCCTGAAGGCCCGAAGGTCCGGGAGGCCAGACCCCCAAGGCCGGAGCTGACCAGGGAGCCTCCGGAGAAGGGTGAGGCAGCAGTAGCAGTAAAACCAGCCAGCTGAGCCCCAGGAAGAGAGGCAGTGGGGCCTGTGGCACCCTCCTTGCTTCGGCTACCCTTAGGACGGCCTGGCCCGTGGCGGCTCCTCTTGCTGGCTTTGTGCTTCTTCTCCTTCAGGCCTGTCTCAGGAGCCTCCTCGGCAGGTCCAAGGGTGGCACTCAGTGCAGGCATCCGCTTATGGGAGCCACCTGCTGAGGCCCCAGCTCCCGAAACATGGGGAGACTTGTAGTCCCCAGGTGAGGGGGCTCGGGCCCGGCTGGAGCTGGAGGAGGTGGCAGAGAAGCGCATGACGGGCCCAAAGCCAGAGAAAACCACCTTCTGCTCGAAGAGGTCAGCCTTAGGGGGCTCAGGGGCTGTGGGCGAGGGAGGGGCTGGCGGAGTGGGGGCCATGGGCTTGGAGTACTTGTCTTCCTCGGGCTGCTCCAGCTTGGGGAATGCCGCGAAGTCAGGAGAGCTTTGCAAGGACGAGCCTGCAACAAAGGAAGGGGATTACTGCTGGACCACCTCCCTCCCTCGTTCCCTACCAGCATGAGGGAGAACAGTAGCCAGGGAAGGAAGCCTTGTGTCCTGCCCAGCTGTGTGTCCTAGGTTAACAGCCCCTGCTGGAAACAACAGGAGGGAAGCCACTTCCACCCTTGAGTGAACGATTGTTACAGGAGCACTGGCAGGGGACAGGTTCTCACTCTTCAGCACAGGCTGGCCTCAAATTCAAGCAATCCTACAGCTCCCAAATGCTGGGATTACAGGCCTCTGTGCCTGGAACTAATATTGGTGCTTCTGAATGGCCCTTCTGACACAAGAGTAGGGGACATTACTGCGGAGCTGGAGGGGTTGGCCCTGAAAGGAACAGAGGAGCTCTGACTTAAGAAGGGAAAGGTGAGGGCTGGGGAGATGGCTCAACAGTTAGGAGCACTGACTGCTCTTCTAGAGGACCTGAGTTCAACCCCCAGCACTCACATGGCAGCCCATAACCACCTAACTATGAAGGCATCTAACACAACTACCTATAACCGGACTGACACAACCCATTTTTAAGGATCCTACGCCCTCTTCTGGTGTGCAGAGAAAGCACCCACATGCAAAAATAAATAAATCTTAAAAAAAAAAAAAGGGAAGGGTAGAGAACCCAGCTGGGAGCTGAGCCACTGGGGGACGTGGCGGGGGGGGGGGGGGGAGGGGGACGGGGACGTGGGGGAATTCCCTGCCATGTTACCCCACATCAGTTTGTAAAAACAAATGAGCTGCGAAGCACCAGGCCCCTGCCAGCCACAACAGCTATGACAAAAGGCTCCCACTCCCAGCCTCCTCCACGACACCCATACTCACCTGCAGGCTGAAAAGACCCCCCAGAGGAGGAAGAAGAGGAAGAGGAGGAGGAAGAGGAGGAGGCGGAGGTAAAACTGCTCACACCTTTCCCACTGCTCAGTTTCTTCCCCTTATGACTCAGGCTATGGCTGGAAGACTTTTTCCCCTTTGAGTCCCTGCTGCCCTCAGAGGTCTCCTGAGTGCTGGCCTCATGGTGGGAGGAAGTCGGAGCTGAGGAGACCTAAGGGAGAGACAACAGAGGCTCATCGCCAGCTGCACAATCCAGCTCAGCCTGATTTGGGAGTGAGGGTGAAGACACAGGACCTGGGCTCAATTGTCTCCAGGCAAGGAGCCGTGCGAGGCTCTAGAACAGTGAGACAGGAGGCAGCTGCAGAATTCTAGGGAATGTCCTGACCCTGTCTTTGCCCCAGGACCCAAGAGAGACCAGTCCACATTCCGCACTGACCTACTCAGCGAAGGCTCACTAGGAAATACCTCTGGCCTAAAGACTGGTGCTGGTCTTGGGCCCTCCAGATGTTACCACTCACAGTCACCTGGCTTTGGCCCATCTCTGAGGACTGCAAATTCTTGCTGGAATCCCCAAGCCTCCACACCAACCCTCCACAGGGCAGCCTGGCTTTGCTTCTCCAACACCCAGCTAGGAAGCCCCACCCGAGGAAGCCTCCCTACATACCTAGGCGAAAGACCCACTCTGTCTTACTCTCAGGCTGAGGTGCAATGCTCTGGGAGGGCAGGGTGTTGGGAAGCATTGGGGGAGCACGGCTGAGAGCCTAGAAGGCTCTGCCCTCCTTGCCATGGTATCTCTGTTGTGTAGCCTCTGGACCTGGCTCAGCAGCACCATCTTTAGGAGCACAGTCCTGGGGGTCAGGAGCAGCTCCATGCCAGAGACACAGCAGGGGTTCCGTAAATGAGTCTGATAGTGTGGTTGTTACCAGTGCCTGGCAAAGACAGTTCTGTGCGAGCACAGCCCTTCAAGCCAGACCACTGTGGTTGAAAGCTTTACTGCTAGCTGTGTGCTTTTAGACAAATTATGTAACTTCTCTGTGTTCTCAGCGTCACTGAGGAAGTGGAAGTGACCTGGCAAGGCACCTACCACACTGGGTTATTCTGAGGAATGAATTAAGTCCTCCTCATGTGCCCCTGCTCTCCCCTGGTTCCAAAAACATTCAGGCCTCTATGGAGTTGTGCCTGAGTACCTGAGAAGGTGAGCTCTCTTTAGGGTGGATATCAAGTATTCAAATTGAGCTTGAGGAACGAATGAGAGGGAAGCGAGAGCTACCCTCCCTGTGTTGCTACCCTCCCTGGGCGGAGCCCTCGTCTCTGTCTTCCTTTGTTCTTTTCAGCAGCTGGAGTTCTGAAGGGAGCCAGATGTGGTTCGGAAAGTCACCAGGAAAAGAGGAGCTGGGGGAAGGGGGCCTAAACGTTGGGATGGGTTGTGAGGGGATAGGCAAAGCTCTGCAGCATGTCCAAGGGTCACCCCCATTGGTGGGGGACCCCCGACAGGTCTTTCTATGTACCTGAAGGCTCCTGGAAAGGTCAGACCAGCTTTCCCAGGTGAGCCCAGGGAAGCAAAGCAGGAGGGGAGTTACTGGGACAGTTGCCACAGCAACATCACCCAGGAAACCTGATACCTGAGCCTCCTGCTAAGATGCCCAGTGCCCTGCCAACCATGCAAGGGAGTAGAGGTGACTAGCAGTAATGGGACGAGAGGGAGTGCTTTCTCCAGGCCCCCAGGGGGCTCACACAGTCTGCTCTGGCTTGGATTAGCACTCACTGGCCTAGTGTAGGGTCTGCCTGTTGCTCCTTCAGATGCTACCCATTTCTACAGCCAAGCCGGCTGAGAGGGTGGGGTGACTAGGGATTTCAGGGTATTGCCAGAAGCCGCTCCCACCCAGCAGGAAGTGGGATCTAGACGTCCTCCCAGTGGCAGGAGTTCTCAGCCTATCCCTCAGGGCTGGGCCCCAGAGCATGGAAAACAAAGCCCGAGGGCCACACATCTGCTCTCCAAAGACCAGAGCCCAATGCTGAGCCTCTGCTAGGACAAAGGTGCACCACGGCAGTTAGCCGGCAGGGAGGCACCCCCACCTCACCCTTAGCATGTGTGGGGCTTGCTGAGCAGAGGTGACATTAACCACGAGCTGTGAGAGGAAGCCCAAGCAGGCCCCTGCTCACCCTGACCCTTCACACTACATACACAGTCACCCCTGGACTAGCACACTCAGCATCCTGAGAAGAAGCAGTAATACCTTATCAGCAGTGGGGACCACAGGCGGGGTGAGGATGCTGGGGGGGGACTCAGGCCGCTTCTTGTGCTTCTGTTTAAGGCGTTCCTTATCCTTTCGACTCTGGGGAGGAAAGGGGGACCAGATATTGATGGGAAGGGGAGTTTGACACGTGAATGTGGGGAACTGAGCCCCTCTTAGGAGTGGGGCTCAGTGAGTCCTCTCCCTCCACAGAGGGATGGAAGACTCCAGCTGGACAGGAGTAGCTCAGGCAAGATCCTCTGAGAGCCAAGAGCCCCTCCCCCCATCTTCCCTCCTGCTAAAAATAGCCTGTCCCATTATCGTGCCAGTTGACAGAGCACCACACACATGAGCAGGCACTCACAAGGGTGTACCCCTGGAACACACATACACTTCTTGGCATGGGCACAAGGGGATAAGCTAGAGATGTGTACAAACATATAGGATCACAAAATCAGAGGTTAGGGGCACTGTCACGTCGTGAGGAAAACAGAGAACAGGCAGACATAGAAGCCAGGTCCCAACCTCTGAGCCTCAAGGTGTACCTCCTTAGCTACCTCTTCAACCTCAGTGGCCTCCGGGGGAAGACCTAGGCACCTGGTGGGAGTCTCTGAAAAGAGCTATGTGAGAAAGAGCAGGCCTTCACCTTCTTCTGGCCTTTCTCATGGTGGGTAGGGTGCTTCTCCTGCTGCGTGGATGGTGAGGCCGACCGGCTTCTCCTGCCAGTAAGGAAGCTGTTGCTGCTGCTGCTGTTGGCGCCGCCGCCGCCTCCCCCTGTACCACCTCCACCACCGCTGGTACCACTGCTGCCACCTCCTCCACCGCCTCCTCCTCCTGTTCCTCCTCCTCCCCCGCTGGAGTGCCGGGATGTCTTCTGAAGGTAGAGATTGAGAGGAATTGCCAAACCTTTCTTTCATTAGCTTAAGGAAAGTTTCTGAAGGTCACAGGATCCCAGAACAAGTCCCTCTGCCCCTGCAGGTCACCCCTGTCTTCTGTGACATGCTGTCAACCTAGAAATCCTAGTGCTTCCTCAGCTGTCTTTTGTTTTGTTTTGTTTTGTTTTATGAGACAGGGTTTCTGTGTAGCCCTGGCAGTCCTGGAACTCGCGCTGTAGACCAGGCTGGCCTCGAACTCACAGAGATTCAGCAATCTCTGCCTCCCAAGTGCTGGGATTAAAGGCATGTTACACTGTCGAAACAATGTACAGAGGTCAGAAAAAGGCACAGACCAGCCTTAGCCTCCAAAGAGGTACAGTGAGGTTGGGCGTGGACCTGGACCCAGGACTCGGGCCTCTTGCTGCCTTCCTATATTCCAGTGCTCTCCTGGCGTCCCAGGCAGACTCACAGCCCATGGCCACCTCCTTCCCTTAGAAAAAGGGTACGCAGAGGACAGTCCGGGAGCCCCAGCTCCCTGAGAACTCATTTCTCTCTAGCCCTCATAACCTCCTCCTTGGTCCTGCTTTTCCTCTCTGCACAGCAGTCTAGGTCCATCGGAAGATCTGCTGCCCTGAACCGGGAGCTGCCGGCAATGAACACCAAACTACCTCCCTGGGATTGCCCTCCTTGTGCCTGGTCTGACAGCTTTACCCACCCCAGGCTCGCAGCTGCTCCCTATGATCACCAACGACTCCCCAGTTGCCAAAGCCTAGGATTAATTTCAGGCCTCGCCAGCTTGGGCTCTGCTCCTACTTCATCAAGCTCCAGATCTTTTCTCCCAAGTCTCTTTCACATCTGGACCCAGTCTATTCTGGACACCCGCAGAGGCAGCTTCAGGCTTGTAACCTCTGCCTGCCCTTGCCACCCTGCCTGGGGACCCCCCAAAATCCGATTGTGTCTACCCTAGTGCCACCTGCAAATGCATCAAAACTCCTGACCTTGCCCTAAGTGGCCATCAAACTCTAAAAGCACAGCGACTATGTAATTACAAGCAAACCAGGACACCACTGAAAAGAGAAGGGGATCTATTAATCATTTGATGGGGGAAACAGGCACAAAACAAGATGATCTCGGTGAACCAAGGTGTGGACTCCCTGAGAGGCCAGCTGCCCCCTTCCTAACACCGTCAGGTACCCGCCTCTCCCCACCCAGTGGTTGGCGACAGCTTCTTGACCACTCTCGTGTTCAGACAAGCCCACCTTCGGGGACTCCAGCATCCAGCCTGGTCACTGTCCCTGTCACCCGCCCCTCTTCTTGCAGCTGTCTCTCGACCCAGCTTCATGGCTGCTGCCAGGGTAATCTGCCTATAACACAAATCTGATCATATTACTCTCTGGCTTCTCAGGAGCTCTCCAAGCTGTGGCCTGGGGCAGAGTCCTGGCTGCAGCCTACTTCTGCAGATACATCCCAGCCTGGATGTATCTAGGGAAGCTCCTAGTCTGTTCAGCCATGACAGTCTCATTTCGTCCCTCACTACCTGCCTGGTCCCATCAAACACCCTTCAGGCCCCAGCACAGGTTCCCCCTCACCTTAGGGCTCTAGCTACCCCTGGCATGGCCGGTTCCTGAGGACCTTTCTGATGGAATTGTTTGCTCTGCCTCCCACCCACCAGCTGGGAGACAAGCTATACCATCAGGGACGCTTTATTTACCTATCTGTGAAATGGGACGCAGGCAGCACATTTGGGCCATGGGAGAATCACACACGGTCAACAAGAGCCTTCATGAATGCAGCAAAGACCCTGTCCAAGCACAGGGTTATCCTACTTGTCCTCCTAGCTCTATCTAGCTGAAAGTTTCCCAGACTGACAGGTGCGAGAGGGAGGGTTCTGTCTCCTAGCCTTGACTACTCACTTGGGCTAGTTCTGATCGGCACCCTGCAGGCTGCAATTCATTCCCTGTCACAGGAAGAGTTCCTGGAAGCAGGGACTAGGGGGCACGGGGGTCTTTCCACCTTCCAGCGCCAGGCACAGGCATGTCCCAGAGCCCATGTGCCCTCTAGCAGGCAGGACTCACCATCTTGCTGAAGTGGTATTTGCAGTAGCCACAGTACTTGACATTGTCCACCTCCAGCACTTCTTCCTCACACAGCAGGCCTGCCATCTGGGCACTGAGGAGAGGCAGGTCAGCAGGGTGTAGCCACAGACCACAGCTGCCTCCACCTCCTTCCTTCTGGACCCAAATTCTAAGCATGGCATTGCCACCAGCTCTCACAAGAGAGTCCACTCCCCTTCCCCCCCCCCAAAAAAAAACCTATAAAAAGCTGGGCAGTGGTGGCGCACGCCTTTAATCCCAGCACTCTGAAGGCAGAGACAAGTGGATCTCTGTGAGTTCGAAGCCAGCCTGGTCTACAGAGCCAGTTCCAGGGCAGGTTTCAAGGTTACAGAGAAACCCTGTCTCAGAAAAACAAAAAACAAGCAAACAAAAAGATAATAGCACTCAACAGCCACCACAAACCCCAGAGCAGCTGGGAATGGGAATCTCACCAGGTGACGTGAAAAGCCTGTCGACATCCGTGGCGATTACAGGTCATGCAGGCTCCTGATGCGGCCTTGCTCTCCCGGCCCTGTTCCTCACAGATGTAACAGGTCTGCAGGGCACAGCACAATGGACCCCTCCTCCAGGGAACCCCACCTTGCCTGCTGAGGGAGGCTCTGGCCTCCCCTCAACTCCATCCTGCCCTCCACCACCCTAGATCAGTGCTAGCCAACAGAATTTCCTACAGGAACAGAAATGGTCTCTAACCTATACAGAGCAAGTCAACAAAAGCTAGTCACAGGTCATCAATGCAGCCGGCATGACTGGGGGAACGAATTCTGAAAATTCTAAGAGTTTATTTAATTTTACATGTATGAGTGTGTCTGTATGTATACCACAGTGTGTGCCTGGTGCCCTCAGAGGCCAGACGAGCGCACTGGATTGGTTCCCTGGAACTGGAGGTAAACATGGTTGTAGGCTGTCAAGTGAGTACCAGGTACTGAACCTGGTTCTATGCAAAAACGGCAAGTGCTTTATCTACCAAGCCCTCTCTCCAGCCCCAGTATTCAATTTTCAATGCACAGTCCTTGGTAACGCTTGAGAGGCTGGCATCTATGTTAGCCTAGCTCCCTGATATGCTGACTGGTCCACTTGCTGGACCTCTGCATATGCTGGATCTTTTCATGGAACCTGGGACCCGCACTCTCAAAGTCAGTTCTTTGTCACATCCTAGGTCGCAGCCTAAACTTCTCCTTCCTTAACCACCTTATACCCAAGCAAGCCTCACTGGGTGTCCTTTATCTCCAGCCTGTGTACACATCTGTCTTGATGAATAGCAAGCACTAGGTGCCTTGAGATAAGAGATATATCTATGAGAGATTACACTATGAGAGATAATATGTGTATCTCTCACATATTAGAAACGCAAGAAAATAAATGCACTACTAACTAAAGGCTGTTCTCTGGCTGTGCTACTTTGGGGGAACTTACTATCTGCCAGAGTCACAGAGCACAGGCATACACCTGTCTGTGCATAGAAGGTAGTCCAGCAGTAAGCATCCACCTCCTGGGTTCCCCAAGAGAGCATAATGGTGGCAGCCCAGGACAATAGGCCAGGAAGGGGACTGGTGAGGGGCCACTGACCTTGTTGAAGCGGTCATGAGGGACATACTGCAGCACAATGGGCTCCATGGTGAGCACGTTGGCAAACTGCACCTCCGGGATATAGAGGGCACACACCACGTGGGCCCAGCCTGGGACAGTGTGGGGATCAGCCTCAGCAGGCCAGCAAGCACAAGACCCCACCCCTCCCAGCACCAAGCTATAGACTGTCCCCTGCTTCCACAACCAGAGCAGGGAAAGCCAGCCCCCACCCCCCACCTGCTCAGGGGGCCTGGCTGACCTCAGCAGGTGTTCAGGGTCCCCTCACCTCCATTGTCAGTCCTCTTCAACGCCCCATCTTTGTGTGGGCACAGCTCACACCTCTGCCAATGCAAGATGCACAGGTGTTTGGGGGGGGGGGGATCTGCTGACCGGACCCTCCCTGAACTCATCCCAAAGGACCCAAGATGACATAAGATCTGGGTAAGGGTGTGCAGGAAAGAGGCTTGGCCAAGAGCTCATTAACTGCCTTGACAACCTTTCATAATAAGTTACCAAAAAAAAAAAAACACCACACAAACACACACAAATCAAAGCCCCCGTGCCAGAGGTGGGGCAGAGCAAAGTGATGAGAACAGGAGGGCTGGGCGCCTGGAGATGGGGGTCAGGAAACAGGATATCCTGAGTGGTAAAGCTTAGTCCTGCCCCAGCCTCAGGGTGCCCTAGCTCAACCTGTAGGAGATGCTGTGATATGGGGAAAGAAAAAAAAAAAAGAACAGAATCTGAACTCACCACCCTGGCTGCTCGCTCCTGAGATTCACATTTCCTGCAGAACCAGGGTCCCGTTGGCACCTGGACGATGCCATAGCAAGCTACGAGTGGGGGAGGAGAGTCACTGAGCAAAACCCTCAGCCACTGGTTTTTTCCCCCCTGAATAACTGGGGGCGGGGAGAGACTCAGCGGACTAAAACCAACCCAGTAGGTGGGGCTGCTCCCCAGACTCTGGGTCACTCTGAAACAGGACCACAAGTAATGTTCAACAGCATAGAGCCAGTCTTCAATCACACGACCAGGCATTCTGAACAGGGACAAGTCTGACAGTCCTTGACCTTAAACTTCCGAAGATCCTCCTCCATCCCCATCTCTCTACCTCCTTTTTTCCCTTGGACCTGTTTCCCATCCTCTGCCCTGACCAGACATCCGAACAAGAAATAGTCATGATTGTAACACGTTTTGTTGTTATGGGGGGGGGGCACTTCTTAAAGGGCCAGTAAGGGATGAGGCAAAGAAGTCGGGGGTCCAAGAACCTCATTTTCTGTCTCTATCACAGGTACAGGTCAAAAGTCAAGGCTGAGCAGGTGCGGTGCAGGTAACCAGGGGAGACTGGCGGGAAGAGCCCGCAGTCACCGCATTAAGGGCTGTCTCAGGAAAGGGGGGGCTGGCTGCCTGTGCCAGACAAGCAGAGATGCCAGCCTGCGCCCTAGGCAAGATTCCTTAAGGAGTTAACTCCCGATCCATGTGCTGCTGGGGGAAACTCCAAACCTCCCTCTCCTCCATTCCGGCCCCCTGTACCACTGCTCTCCCAGCCTCAGCTCTTCCCCGGAGGATTTCAGGAGTCCCTTCTCCCGTGGGACCCTTCTCCTCCCTTCCCAATTCCGCTCCTCCCAGCATCCGGAAGCAAAGGAGGATGACCCCCCCCCCTTGACCTCTTCCTCCCGGAGCGGGAACCAAAATAAACCGGGTGGGGGGGGGGATACCTCGCAGGTAAACATTCTCAGGACAGCCCCAACACCGGCGGTGCGGGTATCAGGGAGTTCACTCCTTGCTCCCTGGACTCTCCCCAAAACTCCTTCAACTTGGGGTGGGGGGCGCGGGACTGG